CCTCTCTAGGTCATGACATAGAGAAATGGGTCAGTTTAGCTCTTCTTCAAGCAATTTACTATGCTATTATTTCAACATTTTTCTGGTCAACTTTTCTTATAATAAACACGGTGTACATTATGAATGGGAGTTTTTGTTGGAGATTCTGAAGAATAAGTTCTAGTTTTATTTTTACAAAAATGGGACAGTAAAACTGGTCCATAAAGGTCACCACCCGTAACTGACGTGCTGATGTATTTTCCATTCTTTTACCCGCCTTTATGGCCCCCGTTCCGGCCCACTCGTTCACCCTTCTGAGTCAGGATGGTGATGGCCTGGCGGTAACATCACCCAATTATCACCCCCGGAGGACGAGTGTTCGAATCCCACCAACACCGCCCGACTTTCCCCATTGTGTGTAAAATAACAGTCCTTTGATTGACCGCTTCCCCCCTTCCTGAAAAGGAAGTAAAACGAGAAAAAAATATTATGCTGGTAGTGCTCTTGTCCTACTTAGGTGTACTCGTTTTCATATCATACGAACCGACCCCTCACTCGTGCACCGCCTCATATGTCTAAAGAATGATAACTAATCGTTGATGTTGTGCACCTCGGGTGTTTTATTATTTTATTTTCATTCGCTGAAGGTTATAACGCGATTGATAAGATTTCTGGTGAAAGTCACTCTTTTACTTCAAATGACAAATCTGAAACGATCACTCACCGGATTCACGTTTGAGCAACAAGCAGTATTATGAGTGCAAAACCTGCTCATCACACGTTTGATCGTTCAATGTGGTCACAGCCCAGGCTCACGTGAGCCTACATTGAACCTGTCATAGGGTTTCAGTTAAACCAGTCCAGTACAAAAGCTTTAATCATCCGAACTGAATCCCTGGCGTTTTTCAATATCAATACACTCATTCCGTTTGTGTACATCTGTCTCATAAATCTCCAGACTCTAATACTTACTTTTGTCATTCGTAGCTGAAGCCTTACTTCATGGTTTCACATGATTTTGCCACATTATGTTGATTCCCGTTTACATTTACATTCTCATTTACGACCATGCCTCAGTGAAGACTAACTTCACATTTATCAGGTACAAGATGGAACTCTTGAAAAGGACGTTTGCCCGCTCACTTTAAGAGTCACCACCGACAGTTTTGTATTAAATGGAATCAAGCTTAGGGCGGACACTGTGAGTGAACTAGATACTTGCTACTGTTACTTTAAACGC